ATATATATATATATATAAAGTCACTGACTGGTCTAAAAAGGCATTTGGGTAATTTATTGCTTAAGAATAAAAATGCATACTTTTACTTTATTATGGTAGTCCTTAACCAGTTTCTATCCCTGGGGGGAGGGGGAAATAGGGGAGGCTGGAAACAAAAACAAAAAGCCACCCAAAAACCCCTCACAACTCATTTTTCCCCCAGAGGGAATAAAAATGTCTTTAGCAAATACTTTGGCAATTACTGGACTAAGATTGCATATTAAGTTAAAGGACCAAACATCAACCTCTACCATCTATCACTCATAAAAATATTTTCAGTACATTTTCTAGTCTATTTTTAGTAAATCTAGTATATTTCACATTTTATGTGTAACAAGAAAGACCACTGCAAGCTGGCATAGTTATTTAAGGGTTTTGAAACTATTAATGAATGGAAAATAACTGCGAATTAGCAACAGGGGATGCTTCCCAGGGACACATAAAAAACGCTATGGAAGATAATCTCCTACTTGGCTACTTATAAATTTCAAGAGTCCAACTTTTACATTTATAACACCGCACCACACCACCATTTTATGATTTGACCATAATTGACATTTGATAAATTGAAAACCTGCTCATTTTTAAAGTACTTGTTATGCAGTACATATTCAAAGAGCATGATAAAAATATCCTTCTGCATCTTCCAAAACCAATAGCACTCAAATGAACAGTCAAGACTAAATTGAGATAATTCCCAAGTATCAAGATTGTTCTGGGGTGGGGGAAGAAGAGAAGGCAGGCAAGAGGACAGAGCACACACAGTGACTTCCGGCCATGTTTTTCATTGACAGGTAGGTTAACAGTACCACTGTATTCATGCTGTCAACATGAGAGCAAATTTCACAGGAAAATTTTGAGACTAGAAGCCAATTAAGCCCCATTAGGAAGTGTTAGTTTGAATAACAGATTTAGTAAGGCGTTAAGTACTAAGAAGGCATCCCTAAATGCTAACATAAACATTTCATGTTCACTTTAAATAAAATGCATTGCAAGTAAACACATTTCACATAATACAGTTTTACTTATTTAAAAAAAAAACAAACACCAAAACTATCTTCTGCCTCCTAGACACTTCACTGTTTTCATAAGGATATATTTTAAGTGTATTTCAAGACATACATTGTAAGCAATAACAGTTATTCACAATAAAAGCACAGATCTCAGATTATTTTGATGAGAGTTACTAACCTTGGGCAAAGTATCTTTATATTGGCATTGTTTGTAAGCATCACCATAGTAATCTGCAGCCTGATTAGCTAGTTTAGCTATGATACCATCTTTCATTTTATCTAGGGGAAAGGGAAGGAAAAAAAACAAAGAAGAATTGCGATTATCATCAGTTTTTACACGGGAACAGGTAGATTACATCATCTTGAAACAGCAACAACTGCGTTCTGAGGGTATAGCTTTACATTATAGCTTAAAGACAGGATCCCATTCTTCTTTCTTGACATCCAGCCTTCCAGATTTTCTACTTCAATCCTGACATTGAAGGTTCAGTCAGTTGTACAGGACATCTTTTGGCAGCTGCTGGCATTTATGCAGGATCAAGAGTGATGCTTTACCTCAGACCAATGGAAAGCTGCCAATAAAAGATGCAGTCCCACTCTTAACTTTGGCAGCTTGATCCCAGCCCTTCCTTTGTGCCAGCACAAGCTTTAGTGTAGCCATAACGAAAGAATTTAGCTGAAATCTAGTTAGCAAAAACCAGTTAATTTTGAGCAGGATCTGTTTTCTAACCCAACTCCATGTCAGGACTCTCAAAAATGTGCTGAAGTGCAAGAGAAGGGAGTGGTGCTTTCCATGGCAGTCCACACCACTGTTAGCTTACAGTGAGTGCAGAAACACCATTCCTAGACATAAATAACCATGGTTCCTCCAAGTGGTATCCACTACTTCATATCAGAGCCGCATGTGCCTAGCAGCAGCAGTATTCCCTTCCTCATACCCTCACCCTGTTCCTGAAGCCAAAACTTTTTAAATAGGAACATGCTGCATCTATTTTTATCTCCTGTTACGATCACCTCTGTGCCTGTGCTAGCAATTCAGCCTTCCAAGAGAAGGCAAGAAATCAATGCAAACATTGGCTGTCCACTCTAAATAGCTGCCCTTACAAACAAGTATCCTCTGAGTCAGGCGATTTTTATGTACTGCCAGATTGATAAGCATGAATGGGGAGTACAGGGAGATTAGGAAGCCTGCAGAATATGCTTAATTGTCAAAATTAAATCAAAAGAATTCCCAAGTGGTCTGCTCATTCCAGCATATTCACACATCTATCTACAACACTTCAGGCACGACCTATGAGGTAATATATTTACCTTCTATGAGGTAAAAGTATTTAAGATATGCCAGAAAGATCTTTTCACTGTGGAACAGGATATAGATGACAAATAATGAGAGAAAGCATCTTATGAGATCAAGCAATTTACTTTTTTGTACAGATGTTTCTGTCTAGTTAGCTAAACGTTTAATAAAACCAAAACACACAAAACCTAGACTGTCCTTCTAGCCCCACCTAGTGTTCGGTAGTTGCATCTTCATAGAGTTTGAGCTCTAAGAAAAAAATATTGGCATGTGAACTACACACTTCCATTAACGTAAGTGTTAGAGGAGACTCATCTGTCCATGCAGACAGCTCAGAATACGTCTTTCACCATCAGAAGCCTTAGCTTCTACTCACGTATCTTTAAAATATTGCAGCTACAAAGAAAACTTTGAAATGGAATAGCAAACACATGCAGACTTAAAAGACACTTAAAAGAAAACATTAGGAAAGGCTCAGAAATTAAAGCACTGATCTGTAGTTATGCAGTGGAGTTAGATTCGACTGACCAAACTGTTTTATTGCCAAACACTACCACTTCCTTTCAACTTGTGAATAAACTCAATTCTATCAGAAATACCATTATCAACTGGTAAGCTGCTAAATGGACCATCTCACATGAGAGGAAAAACAGAAAAATGCAAGTATGGAAAATAGTCAATGCAGCAAGAAGCTAAATTGGAGTTTTGAGATCAAACTTTGAAGCATTATCCCTTGAAAAATAGGTCTCTGAAGTTAATCATGTTGTCTAACATGATTCTTGACAAAATGTCTTCCCTGCCAGAGAAAAGAACCTCTACATCTGGCAAAATCTACAGCCTTCACAGTCAGATGATTATTAACCTTACTGCCCCACTAACACTGGCAGACTTGTGGTCTTGGGATTAGTCACAAAAATCTTCACACAGGGGCATGTGTGCTTTTCGGATCAGCCTTGCTTTGTCTTTTTCACGTTTTGGCTAAGAAGAAATCAAGAAGGTGACAGAAAGATCTATTTCTCATACAAAATTACTTCAGTGCCTGCTACTGCTCTGACGAAAAGTTTCAGGCATTTATTATATAAATTTATTTCAAAGCCACATCCAAAAAGCCAGAGACTAAAATACTACTATAAGCACAATAAAGAACATAAACATAAATTGTCACTTGGCTGAATGACAACCTTTTTGTTGAGATTCTCCTAAAGGTATTAAGGCTACAAGAATTTTAAGAGATCTTCGCTGTGAAGAGAAGAAACATCCCAGTTCACATAATCCATCTTTCTCCACTGTATTCCAAACAAAATGGGGAGAGAGAGCAGTTGGTGGGCAATCACATGACCTGTATGTCTTTAGTTCTACTTTTAGATATCTTTAATTTCTAGATGCACAACTTCATGTAAATACAGAGAGAAGAGAAGAATAGCAAAGAGTAAGAGACAGTGGACCAAAGATAATACCGTTCCACAGGAAAATTCTTTGAAGCATATGTTCTTTAATAGTTTTGTTAAAATATGCAGCCTTTGAACCAGTATTTCACAATCACCCTTTAACAGTTAGGGTTTTTTTACCTACCTGCAGCATTTCACTTTGCAAGATAAACAGGGCATTTTCAAAGACTGACTTGGTCAAAGAGTTCCTCTGTTAAAATCAGGAGCAATCAAACAGAATTTGTTTCCCTAAAATTTTAGGAAATTCCCTTTATTTCCTAACACAGTCATTTCTTTCTCATTAAATCACTCCCCAGAGGAGGAGAAGAGTAATGGTAAAACCCCTATGCACCATTTCTAGTACTCTTAGTTCTTTTAGAAAATGTGTTTTGTTCTCAAGGGGGGAAAGGAAAAAACAGAGATCAACAAAATCCTTTGTAAAATGAAGACTAATGGTTCTGGACGTAAAAAGAAAGGCAAGGCAAATGGAACAACTGCATTGTCAGGTGAACCTTGGATGAATTCTTAAGTGGTATCTGTAGTTTGTGCTTAATCATCAAAGGGGTGGGAGGGGAATCAGTAAAGGTAGAAATAAAAAACTTGAGAAAGGCCCTTTATAAGCTGTTAATAACTTAAAACACTTGTAAGTTTTTTTGAAAGCTGTAATGAGCCAAAATAAGCCAAAAATTAAGATATACCTCTTGTAGCTTTCAGAAAAAAGACTTCTTGGGCTTGAGCCAACATAATAAGACTGAGAGTTCCAACCGTGTCTGGAGAGATGTCCACTGTAGGTTCTCGATTCAAGGCTGACAAAACAGTGTCTTTAATGTGCTGGAAAGCACCACTTGCAAACTAAGCAAAACAAAATAATGTATTATCATTCATGTTTTCAACAGATTATCTTTTTTGACTCTTACAGATATAACATACAATAATTACAAAAAAAAATTAGAGATTTTTTGGTATACAATCTCCCACTTATCGAAACAACAAATCTCCCATTAATTAAAACAATTCCTTGTGACTTCTTGTTCTTGAAGCCACTTATACTGAGACATTTATCAAGAGAGACTATCGGTAAAGGTATATTGGCTACACCTAAGAGCCAGTAAGAGAGAGCATGGAAATTTTAAAACATTCCAAAGAAGAAAAAGATATTATTACTTGTTAAAACTAAAATTCATACTAACTAAAATTATTAAATTTTAAGCTGAAGGTTATCAGTTACCAACACACTTAAGGGAAGGGGTACAGGGAACTGTATGGAATTAAATCCTTCAAAGCTGGTAAATAAATATGAGCTAAGACCAGGTACTTGGCCAATCCACCTTTGCAGTTAAGAGAGGGAAAACATGTATATACATCTTTAAAACTGAGAGATACTTATCTGATGTTCTAAGATTAATAATTCTAAATTCCTAAGCATAAGCAGGGATCCTCTGTACCTGATAGTGCTTAGCTGCAGCTTTTAGTCCTTCATCATTATCCAGATTCTGTTCTGCTGCTATCTGGCTTGCCAATGCTCCACAGTTGAACAAAACACAGGTCTTCTCATACCCCAAACTTGCCAGAGCTGCAATCAAGACAGACAGTTACCTATACTGTTAAGAAAATAAACTTTGGTACCCTAGCATCCTACAGATGAGGCCAACACTACTAATAACTGTACTTAAAAATATCAACAGTTGTTTCAAGCAAAAAAATAAAAATCATACTTAACTTTTAAAGCTGAAGTAATCTTCATTCTGAAGGCTTTATATAGCCTAATGTAGCACTTGCACAAAATGTTTTGATGTGAGGAACTATAGAGTGGCATAAAGCATGGAAGTTGTGGTATGAAAATCTACACAATACACAAAATAATTTGAAAGTCTTTCTAATTGGAGTACATCTTTTTGGCTCCTGAAGATACAGAAATATACACATTACTGAAGGATAATCTGAAATATGAACTTTGGTGCATTAATCACTTTGCAGTATCTGCCCAATTACACGCTCTCGTTGTATCTTGAATGCAAGATTAACAACCCTTCTCTCACTGAGGCCAAAGATTTTGACATGCTCTATATATTAAAATGCAGGGAAATTTTCACCTCTCAAAGCTATTATTTCAGACTGAAAATGCTGACAAATCTTGGTTACACATGCACTGAAACAAACTAAGGATTTACTTAATTAAAACTTGTGCTCACTAGACAGCTGTGTGGCCTGTCCAGACTGAACTCTTGTAGTACTTCATCGTCCCAGAGGATGGAGCCTACACTTCTAGAAACAGTAATACCTGAACAGGAACCATTTTGAATCTATTAATTACTTTCATAAGGTTATTTAACACATGCAAGCACTGGAAAAATCTAACGACTGCATATATTAGTTTCCTACTACTGTTTAAAAGCCTCTATAGACACTTGTGTTGGAGAATACAGAAAACTCACTCAACTAGTAAATTCTCCATTTCACAAACCCAGGTACAACTTCTAAATTATCCTTAAAACATGAAGGTACTAAAGAGGCACATTTGTCTCATTTCACTAACATCCAGTCTCCTTATACAGCTACATATTAATGTAACATATCTCTTAAGTTTCTATGTTAACACTGACCCACACTAAATTTTCAGAAAAGCAGCTACAAATCTGACATGCCATGCTTCCCTGACTGAAAAGTGAGTTACATAGTCATCACATTTCATCAGGATAACAGCCATCTATTTAGACCATCTATCTTCTGTATTATATTTTTTGGAATTTTTCTAAAAAGATCTTGTACAACTTAAACATAATTCAAAAGACTAAAGCAAACAAGAAAGGAAAGAAAATAAGGCTTTAAAGCTTCTGAAGTGCAAAGTTACTTTAAATGCACAATTACTTTATACTCTGGACTGCATCTCAAGTGTGATTTACTACGATGTGAACAGCTGTTTAGCAATATAGATTTTCCTCAGACTCATCTGTTTATAGCTCTACCTATTAACTTAAGCCAACATAGTTCAGATTACATGCCACGCTGTGAACTGGGTCACTTTTCAAGCAGCTATAATATCTGTCAGCTACCACTGTGATACAGACTTGGGATTCAGGGAAAGATGGAAGAAAGCAGCTTGTCACCACAGCGTGAGCAAGAACTCTCAACTCACACCCCTGCATCTTGGCCCCATGAAAGTCAAAGGACTTTTACACTGAATTTCCATCTTGAGACAGGATCGCCTCCTCTTAAGTCAACAGAAATTTTGCTCCCTCAGTAACTGAAAGCTTTGCTTTGCACTGAGAAACCTCACTGCTAATTCTAATCTGAAATAGACAGACACATGCTATAGTTAATCTGGAAAGCAGCATCTGGGTAATCTGTGATACACCACTGTAAAGAGATATACTAAACGACTCCTTTTCTTAATTTCTTTCCACTAAGATCTGCTTTAGAGTTTCAAAATAAAATGTATTCCATTGCTTGTTAACTCAGCATTACTCACTGCAGTTGGGAATTTCTTTGATATTTCACATGGACTGTTGCATAAATCTCTGTCCATCTGCCTCACAGATTATTTAGACTGGTATATAATTAACCTATGGACAGGCAAGCTTTCTCAAGCTGCTATAACATCTATTCACGCTGTAACATTTATTTAAATTCTCAGGGTAATCATAAATGTTATGATTACTGATTCCTTCTCTCGCAGTTATTATAAATCTCTGGCAATTCACAGACTATGTTTGAATCATAATTAAGTATTCTGAACTTTACTATGAAAAAGGTTCAACCGTCATGAAATGCTAACCCCAAAGAAGACAGAACCAATCAAATTCTGAAAAAAAACACGGTGTCTACAAAAAGGTCTCCAATTATCCAGAGGGACTTCTTATAACACTTAGAAAATAAAGCAAGGAAAGGTGTACACCACCTGCTTACACACAGAAATGTGGTGTATTGTTACACATACAGTTCACACAAGCACAACTTTAGAAGGCACATTCAGAACATGGAAAACTGCAAACATTTTCAGTAGTTGCTAACAGAGGACTATACAAAGGACACAAAAACTTTAAAACACCTAAAAAGAGAATAAGTACTCTGACATTTTTTCAGGCTTTGCCTGGAGCTTCAAAATTGCAATGGCCATCTTGCAAAGCTTGTCATGATGAACATTTAGGTATAAATAGAAACACTACAGAATAACGACATGAGTGAACAGCACCTCACTTAACTCAAAAAGATTTAGTCTTAGCTTCTCTACTAGCAAGTGTTTCAAATCCATTTAATGACTCTGAATTTGCAGTGCAGAATTGTCCCTATATGACTAAAAGGAGTCTGAGTCTATGGTTTGTTACATTTACAGGAAACAAATACAATTTTTTTTTCCCCCCAAGTATTCAAATCTGTTTGAAAAATATTTTTAAAGTAAGTGATAGGAAAACCATCTCACAGCACAAGCAGACCTTTCTATTCTCTTGAGGAAAACATGACACCAGACTAGGTTACTGAAGCCATTCTTCTGGAGGGGACTCACTTACTCACAACCACATCTCAAGAGGATCTAATTCATTTATAACAGTAGGAGCTGTCTTACCAAAAGCCTACCACTCAGACTTAATGTTAACTTGTACAGTTTTAACAAATGTCAGTTGGGGTTGCTCCCAGAAAGAGTCTGAGGAGCAGACAGTACAACTGTCATTAGACTGCACATCTATTTGTGCCTCTGGAAAATTAATATTAAATCTCAGTTTTATATATATTCTTTGCACGGTGCCCATTTATTAATTACCAATGTTGGAATTATTATATCTATATATCCACATACATACATTTATGTCCATATATATATATATATATCTCCATATATATATATACACACACACCCACCCCATTACCAGTATAGATGAAAACATCTGCACACCCATCTAAAAGAAGGGCCAGAAGACCCGGGGAACTACAGACCTGTCAGT